CCATGTGTCCTTAGCTCATTGCATCCTCCTGCCGGTTCTGTGACTAGGGAAGAGAACCACGGTACCAGACAGGAAACTGAGGTCTTGGGCTACCCACGGCCCCCAGGGCTCCCCAGGAGCCCGCCAGGTAGGACATGAAGCCAGGCTTGCTGCCTACCCAGCCTGCCTGTTAACATTTTCATACCAGTCCCAAGAAGCTCATGTGGTAAACCTGCTTTTTCCCGGTTTTTTTTTTTCGGCCCGGTTTTTTTAATAATCATTAACCTCCTGCTGAGACTCATACCAACCCAGAGCCATGGGCTTTCAGTTAAGATTAAACTAGTGACACCATGTGCAACAATGTGCATGGAACTAGTGGGTATTATGCTAAGTGAAATTAGTCAATTAGAGAAAGACAATTATCCTATGATCTCACTGATAAATAGAATTAAAGAACAAAATAGAGATCATAGGGGAAGAGAGGAAAAATAAAACGACGAAAATCAGAGTGGGAGACAAACCATAAGAAACTCTTAATCGGGATCCCTGGGTGGCGCACCGGTTTGGCGCCTGCCTTTGGCCCAGGGCGCGATCCTGGAGACCCAGGATCGAATCCCACGTCGGGCTCCCGGTGCATGGAGCCTGCTTCTCCCTCTGCCTATGTCTCCCGCCTCTCTCTCTCTCTCTCTCTCGCTGTGACTATCATAAATAAATAAAAAAAAAAAATTAAAAAAAAAAAAGAAACTCTTAATCATGGGAAACAAACTGAGGGTTACTGGAGGGGAGGAAGATGGGGGGTTCAGGGTAACTGGGTGATGGGCATTAAGGAGGGTATACGATGTAATGAGCCCTGGGTGTTATATAAGACTGATAAATCACTGACCTCTACCTCTGAAACCAATAATACGTTATATGTTAACTAATTGATTTTAAAATTTTAAAAACACACACACAAAAAGAAAATCATATATATATATATTTTTTTCTTTTTTTTAATAGGCGCCTGACTGGCTGAGTCTTAAGGTTAAACTTCTGCCTTCAGCTCAGGTCATGATCCCAGGGTTCTGGGATAGAGCCTTGCATTGGGCTCTCTGCTCAGGGAGGAGCCTGCTTCTCCCTCTGCCTGCTTCTCCCTGCTTGTGCTCTCTGGCGCACTCTCTCTGTGTTAAATAAATAAATCTTAAAAAAAAAAAAAAAAAAAAGATTAAACTAGTGAAAATGGGCCAAAGTCAAGGCACTCAGGGTTACAAGCCGGATATCAGGCAACCTGCCTCTGGGAAGGAGCTGCTAACACTATTTTTAATGTGAAAAATCAGTTTTTGACTTCCCACCCACCCACCTAGAATAGTTAAGAAAATATAAAATGTCAACATTGCTATATTGGATTAATATAGCCCAAAAATCTATCTTCTTTCGATGTCCTAAGTTACCTAGTAATACAATCACTTTGGCATCACAGCAAAATACAAGATTATTTTTTATCAACGAAGCCCCAAGCACAAGGGCATGGGGAGCTTCTGCATTCTGTTTCTGGGTGAGCCAGCAAGAGCAGAGTAGCGGGAGGAGCAGATGGTGAGATCTACAGAGGCTTGGTCCTTTAGTACACTCCACAAATACTCACTGAGCTTCTGAAATGGGTGAAGCACTGTGCCATCTCACCATCAGGTAGTGAAAAGTATTATCAGTAATTTAAATTCAGTGGAAAGTGTGTGTATGTGTGTGTAACTCTGGTTGAGGTGGGAGTGAGGGAAGGCCTCCTTTAGGACATCTGAGCTAAAACCCAAGGAGCTAGCATGCAGAGATCTTGGGGAAAAGATTCCAGCAAGACAGAACATCCACTGCCAAAGTGCTAGAAAGACACTTGTGGCTGGAGCAGTGTGAACATCAGAACAAATGGAAATGGGCAAAGGGAGTGGGAGGCTCTTCACGCCCTTGCAAACCATGGGAGGAATGGGGAGCTGCTGGAGAATTTTAAACAAGGGAACAACACAGTCCAATTCATCTTCACGATTTCATTCTGGCGATTATGCAGTAAGCAGCGGTTACACATATGCGTTCATTTGCAGGTGGGGAGGACTAATGTCCTGGCTCAGCTTTTCTACTCAGCAGCATGTTCCTGAGTCAGGGCATCTAAAGATTCAACTTGTTCAAAACCAGCTCTGACTGGTAACTCACTGGCCCTGCTCTTCAGATTATCTGGAAATTATTTCTAAAAATCAAATTGAAAAACATAATTATTGTGAATTTTAAACATATCTGTGTTCCAGTCATCACTTTGAAAAAAAGCAGATCAGAATGCCTTTATAAAGTATTTATTTTTAAAGTGTGCCCTGCTTACTTCCAAAAAGCATTTGAGGCCATTGTCATCAAGCCTGTAAACAACAGGACAACTTAAAGTTCTCTCCTGGAGAATGTTTACAATATATTATAACGTGGGTTAAGGCATCAGCTTGGGAGGGAAATGCTAATGTTGAAGGGTTTTAAAAGCCTAATTTGTTCAAAGGATTGAGTTTAGCTGCACGTACTGCTTCATCATGGGTTAGATCCTTCACTTCTATCCATTTTCGTATTTCTCCTCCTCTATTCTCTCCCTGGCCCTCTTGAGATCCACCCTTTGCCTGGTTTCGCTGCTCACTGGCTCCCCCATCCAGAGACTGAGCAGAAAGGACGGATTGGAAAGCTTGATGCCCTTGGTTCAGCATTTTCAGTTTTCTGTGTGTGTGTGTTTGTGGGATGGTATTTGTGTGTCCACATCTGTGTATATGTATTCAGCAGGGGTGGGAGGAGTCCCTAGGTTAAAGTGATATGTAAATTTTAATTATTTATCCATTCCTCTCCATTGTATACACACACATCCCTCACTGTGTACTTCTTTCTCTCTCTTTCCCTCTCTTTCCCTCTCTCTCTAAAATTTTAAAACTGGACAAAAAGTCTAACTTCCATTTTTAGTCTTTACCCATAGCATTCTTACTTCTGTTCTAATTCTGCCAGTGAGAATCCCATCCTTTAAGCTTCCAAAAGGTAAGATATAACATTGTCAGACACCTTACTGGTAAATTCAAGATAAAAAGCAAAAGGTAGGGTACCTGGGTGGCTCATTCAGTTAAGGAGTCGACTCTCAATTTTGGCTCAGGTCTATGATTTCGGGGTCCTGAGATGGACCCCTGCATCAGGGTGGGTATGGAGGCTGCTTAAGATTCTCTCCTCGGGGCACCTGGGTGGACCAATTGGTTAAGCATCTACCTTGGGCTCAGGTCATGATCCTGGAGTCCTAAAATTGAGTCCCACATCAGGCTTCCCGCTGAGTGGGGAGTCTGCTTCTTTCTCTGACCCTCCCCCCTTTCATGTTCTCTCTCTCAAATAAATAAATAAAATCTTAAAAAAAAATTATCTCTCCTTCTCCCTCTGCCCTCCCCCTAGCTCACTCTCTCTCTCAAAAAAAAAAAAAAAAAAGTAAAACATAGAAGAAAAACTAGAAAAATTTTTCATTCTTCCTGCTGGGTGGGTTTTAGCAGAACTTTTATGATTGATTATTTGACTAAAGCTAATTGCTGCAAAAGGTTTTTGATTATGGTTTTTAAAAATTTTGGAGAAAATTTTGGAGATATAAAAATATCTCAGAAACACCAAAACTATCATTTCTGTTGCTTTTCCCACAATTTTCACCACATTCACTACCCTCCAAGACTACTTATGGTCAGTCCTCACTAGTAGCAAAATAGAACAGATTTGCAGCAGATTATGAAAAATAAATCTGGCGGAAATGCCAAGGAATTCTTTAGGGTTTGGTGGGGGTGGAGAACAGAACTGTTTAACTTCTTTGATTGGTTTTGGCTTTTGATGTTTGCTTCAAATTGCTATGTGCCTCCAAATTATAAATTGCATATGCAACTTAATGTGCAACTTAATGTGTGCTGCTTAAGAATTTTTTGAGTGACTAAGCTTTCAAAGGAAATCCTCAAAGGAAAACATTAAAAAAAAAAAAGAAAGAAAGAAAATATTTTAAGTAAATTGCTTAACTATAAATTGAACTTTCCAGGTATTCTTAACAAATATCTGTGACTGTAATTAGGTAAACGCTATTCAGCCATGTTTATGATCAAGAGACAAAAACAGAACAAAACAAAACACATGCTGAATGGAAATACAAAACTTTTAACTAAGGAAAAATGCCAGGGATGTGTTTATTCAAAATACCCCTCCCCCACTCACACACCAATTTATTTTTCTTTTTGGCAACACCTGGTTAAGCTTCTCCCAGCTTCCTCAAGAAATGCAACAGCGACCAAACTTTTACCTTGTGAATCACTTAGCCTCCAAACAGGCTGTTGATGCAGAAAGGAAGCCGCCTTGCCTTGCGTCTATCAGTCTAGAACAACTTTATTGGAATGTAACAGAATCGGGACAAACCTAGCAGCAATAACAAGGGTTAAAAGAATGCTTCCCTTTGTCCAAGGTCCCCACACTCACAGGGGATCCCTACAAAGAGGTGCTAACATTGCCCTTAAGGACCCAGGGGGAGCAGACAGGGGGGCAGATCCCCGTCTTCGGTCGATCGCAGCACCAGGAATGTGACCCCCACTCCCCAGCTTGCTGGTCTCCCGGCACCGGTCCCGCGGGAGATGGGGCCCGAGGCTCCCAGAACTACTGCCCAGAGCCGGGGTCCAACCAAGCAACGACGTCTAGAGGAGAGTTTTCAGCGCCCTCCAGACCAGACCTGCGACAAAATTCCTCTGGATCGAAAACTTCGGGACCTGCAGCGGGCGGAGCTCGAACTCCTCCTCTGCGGTAACGGGGAGCTCTCGGCGCCCACCCCTGCGGGTCTTCACCGGGACGCGCACCCACGACCCATCCTGGGCGCCCGGTCAGCGGGCTGGTGGGGGCGCCTGCGCTGCACGCCCTGGCACCGTGGCGCGTGCCCAGGTGTTTGCAAACGTGCCCGGCCGCCCGGCGCGCCCCCGCGGGCGCGCACCGTCCCCGGAGCTCCGAGGCGCGAGCCCCCGGCCCCCATCGCCACTCACCTCCCCTCCCGAGCGCGCGGAGGAAGAGCCACAGCAGGAGCGGCAGCAGGGCCCGCCCCATTCCGGGGCCGCGGGGCTGGAAACTCTCCCCGATCGACGGCAGACGGACGTCCCAAACCTGCCCAGTCCCGGGTCGAGCGCGCCAGCGCGGTGGCCCAGGGCCGGCCTCCCGGCAGCTAGCGCCCAAGTGGCGGCGCCAAGCCGCGGGCAGGAGGCGCCTAGGGCTGGAAGGGGCGGGCCGGGGGCCGAGTCCGAGCGGACCCGAGCCAGTTGGGGTGGGGAGGGAGGGGGGACGGTGGGGAGGCGGGCCGCCAAGGGGAAGGAAGGGGACTGGGCTGGACGGCAGGGGCGGGGAGGGGCGGGCCCTGGGCCGAGCCCGAGCGGCCGGGGATGGGGGGCGGGGGTGGAGAGAAAAGGAGGGGAGGGGCGGCCGGAGGGGAGGAGGAGAAGGAGCCCCAGCCTGTGCGCCCGCCCGGAGTCCGACACGTGTGGGTGGGAGAGACACAGAGAGGGAGAAAGTTGGAGGGAAGTGGAGGGCTTCCGAGGCCTCCGTCAGGCCCAAGAGGAGGGTCCAGCACCTTGAAGCCGCAGCGATCCCCAAATCCAGACGTACACGACCCAGAAAACCCTGGCAGCAACGTTCCCAGAGGCGAAGGCCACCGTGGCACCGCTTCCCGCCGAGCGCCCCCTGGGTACCTGGCCAAAGGTGTGAGACCCGGCCCCGCGGCGTCGAGGAGCGCACTGCCTCCAGGGAAGAACTTTTTGCTGCGCCCCCGTGAGGAGCCAAACAGAGGTGACACTTAGGCAGGGAGATGAACATCGACCCTGCTGCGACTAGCAAGTGGAAAGGCACCCTGAAGCTATGAAGTGTGGAGGAGCCAAGAGGGCAGCTCGTAAAAGAAAGCGAAGCCACTTTTACTGACAATTGCAACAGTGACTTACATATTTTCTTAAAGGAAACATTTTTAGGGTTATTTTATTTTTAAAGATGGATGGATGGATGGATGGATGGATGGATGGATTTGGGAGAGGGTGGCAGGAGAGGGCAGAGAGAATCTTAAGCAGTGCTGAGAGTGGAACCTGTTGATGGCTCCATCCAATGACCCTGAGATCACCATCTGAGCAGAAATCAAGAGTGGGAGGCTTAACGTACTGTGCCACCCACGTGCTCCAAGATGAATTTATATGAATGTGATCCTTTTTGACAACATGAGCCAGATCATTGTCATTTCTCTGCTCAAAACTCTCAAAACTCTACAGTGTTTCCTTTCTCGCTGCCTAAAAGTCAACGGCCTACAAAGTCCTACAGGATCTGGTCCCCTACCCTGTCTGACCTCATCTCCTTGCTCTACATCCATTTTAGCTGGTTTCCCATCAAACAGTCCCTGAACTTTAGGCTGGCCGGCCTCTTTAGGTAAATTTGGCTATAAAGAGACAACCAACCCGAATGCCTTTAGCCAGGTTATTATTTATACTGGCAGCAAAAGCAAAATCAGCATGGTGTCAGCTCCTTGTGTCCCCAGTCCCATAGGACACCAAACCAGAGGGGCCAGATGTATATAGTTGAGCAATGGGTTGCTCTGCTGCTGGATAGCCAACTCTACACTACTGCCAAGCAGTAATATGAACTTACACTGGGGTCCGCAGTTGTAGCCTTCAGAGGAAGAGGAGGAATGGAAATGGAAGGAAGGAAATGGAAAGTCCTGTGCTCAACTAAAACTAAGGAGAAGGAAGAAAAACAGGCTTGCTGCAGTCTCCCACAAGATAGGGATAGGAAACTGCCTTCCAAGAGCTGCTCACCAGCCTTACCTCCTCTTGTTCCAGGAGGAATTCTACGGCACTGTGTTAAGACTTGGGTTAGACTGTAGTCGATCCCTGCCTACGTGGATATGTGGAAATATGCAGCGTCCCCAGGACATCTCAACAGGGTTGTTCTACAATTTTTTAGTTATGGGTTGTATATACTACACAGTCTGCCACCCCAGCGTATTACACCAACTGTTCCCTCTACCTGGAATGCTCTTCCCCCAGACTCACACACTCTTGGTTAACTCTACTCCTTCAAGTTTGCTCAAACCTCTTTCTTCATGAGGCCTACCTTGCATAAAACAGTTCCAATGATCTATTTCTATATGACATACCACCCCAAACATAGTGGGGATAAGACAGTCATTAGAGTCATGGATTCTATGGGTCAGAGATTTGGACAGGGCACAGGGGAGACATCCCATCTCTTTGCTCTCCCATCTCTGCTGGGATCTTAGCCTCAAATGGCTGGGGACTAGAATCATCTAGAGCAGGGGTCAGCAAACTATAGCCTGCCAAAGTATCACATGTTTTTGCAAAAAAGTGTTATTGGAATATAGCCATTTGTGCTGCTTTTGTGCTATGACAGCAGAGTTGAGTAGTTGTGACAGACATTAGATGGCCCACAAATGGCCTGGACCTTTAGGAAAAAATTGGTCAATCTCTGATCTAAAGGCTTGGGCTGGCATTTGCATTGAGATGACCTGAAGTCTAGGGCTGCAGGCCAGAGCATTTAATGAGGCTTCTCCATGGTGGCCTCAGTGCAGTTGGAAGTCTTGCATGGTGATTTGGGCCTCCAAGAGCAGGCATTCATTCTAGGGAACAAGGTAGAAGATGTAGGGCCTTTTAAGACTTATATCTTTAGAGGTCACCTAACTCCATGTCCCTAGACTTTCTTGGTGCAAGCACTCATAATGCCACTCTCACAGAGAAGAGTCATAGGCACCCCCTTTCACCTCTTGATGATGGAATTGTCAAAGAATTTCCAACTATGTTTTATAACTTCCACAAATAGGAAAAAGTAGCTAACAATGTGGGGTATCAGCTCTATTGTATTAATTTTATGTATACCATGCAACTAAATGACATTATAAATTTTTCATATCTTCAGATATTTTTATTTTTATTTAAATTCAATCAACTTATAATGTATTATTAGTTTCAGAGGTAGAAGTCAGTGATTTATCAGTCTTATATAACACCCAGTGCTCATTATATCCCACGCACTCTTTATTTTCCCCCATGTACTCTTTAATGTCTATCATCCAGTTACCCCATCCCCCAACCCCTCACCTCCAGTGACCCTCAGTTTGTTTTCTATGACTAAGAGTCTCTTATGGTTTCTCTCCCTCTCTGATTCCATCTTGTTTTACTTTTCTCTCCTTTCCCCTATGATCCTCTGTTTTGTTCTAAAATTCTACATATGAGTGAGATCATATGATAATTGCCTTTCTCTGACTTACTTCACTCTGCCTCCATCCATGTCTTTGCAAATGGCAAGATTTCATTTTTTGGATGGCTGAGTGGTATTCCATTGCATACATATACCACATCGTCTTTATCCATTCATCTGTTGATGGACACCTGGGCTCTTACCATAGTTTGGCTATTGTAGACTATGCTGCTGTAAGCATTGGACTGCAGGTCTCCCTTTGTATCTTTGGGGGTAAATACCCAGTAGTGCAATTGCTGGCTTGTAGGGTAGCTCTATTTTCAACTTTGTGAGGAACCTCCATTCTGCATTCCAGAGTGGCAGCACCAGCTTGCATTCCCACCAACAGTGTAAGAGGGTTTCCCTTTCTCCGCATCCTTGTCAACATCTGTCCTTTCCTGACTTCTTCATTTTAGCCATTCTGACTGCTGTGAGGTGGTAACTTATTGTGGTTTTGATTTGGATTTCCCTGATAGCAAGTGATGTTGACCATTTTTTCATGTGTCTGTTGGCCATTTGTATGTCTTCTTTAAAGAAATGTCTGTTCATGTCTTCTGCCCATTTCTTAATTGGATTATTTGTTCTTTGGGTGTTCAGTTTGATAAGTTCTTCATAGATTTTCCATAGTAGCCCTTTATCTGATAAGACATTTGAAAATATCTTCTCCCATTCTGCCAGTTGTCTTTTGGTTTTGACTGTTTTCTTTGCTGTGCAAAAGCTTTTTATCTTGATGAAGTCCCAATAGTTCAGTTTTGCCTTTGTTTCCCTTGCCTTTGGAGGCATGTCTAGCAAGAAGTTGCTGTGGGTGAGGTCACAGAGGTTGCTGCCTTTGTTCTCCTCTAGGATTTTGATGGGTTTTTGTCTCCCATTTAGGTCTTTCATCCATTTTCGTTGGAATGAAAACAGCCCAGTTTCATTCTTCTGCATGTGGCTGTCCAACTTTTCCAACACCATTTGTTGAAGGGACTGTCCTTTTTCCATTGGATAGTCTTTCCTGCTTGTCAAAGATTAGTTGCTCATAGAGCAGAAGGTCCATTTATCGGTTCTCTATTCTGTTCCATTGATCTATGTGTCAGTTTTTGTACCAGTACCGTACTGTCTGGATAATTACAGCTTTCTAATAGAGCTTGAAGTCTGGAATTGTGGTAGCCACCAGCTTTGGTTTTCGTTTTCAACATTCCTTTGACTATTCGGGGTCTTTTCTGGTTTCATACAAATTTTAGGATTGTTTGTTTCAGCTCTGTGAAAAAAGTTGATGGTATTTTGATAGGCATTGCATTGAATGTATAGATTGCTCTAGATAGCATAGACATCTTAACAATATTTATTCTTTCAATCCATGAGCATGGGACATTTTTCCATTTCTTCAATTTCTTTCATGAATGTTCTATAGTTTTCTGAGTAGAGATCCTTCTGGCTCTTTCGTTAGCTTTATTCCTAGGTATCTTATGGTTTTGGGTGCAATTGTAAGTGAGATCTACTCCTTAATTACTCTTTCTTCTGTCTCATTGTTAGTGTAGAGAAATGCAACTGATTTCTGTGCATTGGTTTTGTATCCTGCCATGTTGCTGAATTCCTGTATGAGTTCTAGCAATTTTGGGATGGAGTCTTTTGGGTTTTCCACATAGAATATCACGTCATCTGTGAAGAGTGAGAGTTTGGTTTCTTAGCCAATTTCAATGCCTTTTATTTCTTTTTGTCATCTGATTTCTGAGGCTAAGACTTCTAGTACTATGTTGAAGAGTGGTGATACTGTATATCCTTCTCATGTTCCTGACCTTAGGATAAAGCTCTCAGTTTTTCCCCATTGAGAATGATATTCATTGTGGGCTTTTTACATATGGTTTTTAAGATACTGAGGTATGTTCTCTCTATCCCTATGCTGTGAGGAGTTTTAATCAAGGAAGAATGCTGTTCTTTGTCAAATGCTTTTTCTGCATCTATTGAGAGAATCATATGGTTTTTGTCCTTTCTTTTATTAATGTGGTGTATCATACTGATTTCTGGAGGTTGAATCATCCT